AGAGATAAGGAGGTGTTGAGAGAGCTACTGAACGTGAATTATTCCAATGCGAGCGTAAAGTATTTTGAAGATTATGCATGTATTATCATTGGAGGGCGCGCGATTTGCCTTAATGAAAACTGCTGCCTTTTTCATTACAGGGGAGATCCGAAGTTCGAGCGTACTAATATGAGGTAAATGTGTCTCCATGGCCTACCTGGACATCAGGACTACACTTAGAGGAGAGGAGTAGTGACTGGCCATGTCCTCAGGATATATATGTATGGATATACTATATATATGATATATAATATATATATCGAAGAGGATCACAATAAAGAGAATGGTCTCTTTGACTGGAGAGAGCAGGCTCATAGTAATTATTACGCGCATTTAGAGAGAAAGAGATATTAGTGATATAATTAGAGTATAAAATATAGTATATTCACGGCAGCGGGGCAGCTCGCACGCACGGCTCGGATGCACGCGATGCGCAATTCTTCGATATCCTGCAATCGTGACGCAATATGTAATCTTGCATCCACGTGACAGTACTGATTATAACCTAAGAGTGCTTTGGAACCGAGGTGGCATTGATTGGTATCGACTGGTATGTTATGCTGTGTGAATTATTCAGGGGACAATATGGGATTATTTTCAGAGCTTAGAACCTACTTTGTGAATTCCGTTTCACGATTAGATTGGTTCTTCTAGCAGCAGCTTAAATGGAATCTGTTTGAAATTCAGTGGAAAAACTCGAGGGACGAGGAGGGCTGATAAGCGTCAAGAACAACCTAGTAGTTGTATCCGGCAGAGCGAGATGTTCGCGTAGTCCAACTCGTAGATCCTCTATCGAACGTATTACGCACCAACGTCCTTGAGGTCTAGATCTAGGCGGCTGCTTCGGTCTGGAGAGAGAAGGGCGAGACTCCTTGAGCCGCGCATTGCGGAAGGAGAAAGAGAATCTAAGGAGGAAGAGAGGCAGAGAGGAGGATTGTAGAGAGAAGTACTAGAGATTCCAAATTGATAAGATTAGAAGTTGTGAGGGTTGAAGAGAATAAAAGCATTCAGGGTAGATAGTTTACACAAACTGTCGTGGAGAGACTTGCGAGAGGATTAATATAAGATTGTTTGTTATGATAGTGGATATAATGTAGGATGTACGGTCTTGAGAACAGCCAGAACGACAAAAGCGAGCAGAGAAAAAAGTCTTGACTATGAAACTAAAGGATAACAGTGAGGCACAGGGGGGGAAAAAAGGGGCGGAATTTTCAATAACAATCTGTAGTGGGTGAGGGAGTAAACATTTCTATCGCCAAATAGGGGGGGTATTAAGCCAAGCGCGGGAAAGCGGGGGAATGCGGCTAACGGGGGGGGGGGGGGGGGGGGGGCGCAAAGGGTCGTGAGGAGACGACGAGAAAAGACGCGACGAGTGAGGGGGAGTACTCAGAGCGAGTGTTCGAGTAGGAGAGGAGGAGGCTAAGAGAGAGCACGAGGGGGCGGGTGGGGGCGGCTGAGGGGACTGCTCTGTCTATCCGTCAGTTAGCCGTGTCTATTTATTCTCCCTGCTGTCCTATATAATGCTACTTTAGAGTCTGTTAATCCCGATGAATCTACTACTCTAGATGATAATGGTAGTCTATGCAAGTTAAGTATTACAGGGCCGTCTCATGAACTTGCATACACGCTTGTGTATATATTATATATATATATTATATATATATATACCAATAATATAGACGAATAGTGGGGTACGCGCGACGAACGCGCGTAGGAATTATTTAGCTACTCCCAAAGCAATACCCAATCGTACTGAATAGTGTTTTTCTATCGTATGAGTCTCGACTAAAAACTCAAACGTTGAACAAAATAGATCGGTTTGATTTTATAATCGATTCAGAATGTCTCCACGATACGTGGTTGCTGATAGCCGAAGAATCTAGTGTTATATTAAGGATACACTCGAACTTTTGCGTGTAGTAGTTAGGAAAGTAAACTTTTATTGACTAATGAATCGAATCAATCACACGTTTTATTTATAGATGAGATGTATCTCTATTCTGAAGTCAAGAAAATCATGAAATTTCCAGCACCTAATTATGTGACAATACAAATTTTATAGTTGTTTTGTAAAAATGGTATTTTGGACGTCATCGGTACACGTGTGTTTAAAGGGCCGCGGTTCATTACACACGTACCCGGGGAATCAAAACGCTCTGAAAGTTTACGTGCATCGTTATAATATGGAGAAAAAGCATGTACAGAGGTGGCACCTAGTGTTAGCCATCGAATAAGAATGAAAATGGAAAATCAGTGTTATTTCGCATAAACCCTTGAGTGTATCTGATGGGGAATGCAACAGTCGTTGATACATTCGATATACATAACTATACGCGTGTACATCTGTCTTGTACAAACATGATTAATAAATTCACCTCATGGTGACTCTTGTACACAGCATATTCGTATTGTGTTCTTGTTTAGTCGTCTTTTGAAGATACTAGACATGCACAAACTTATATCTGAGCCAATGCAACCTCATACGGATATCTGGGAAGACTGGGCGCCTTGTCAAGTTTAGTATTGAGAAAGTTATTATCGCGTTCAACCACTACTGGTTAGCACAATATTATTTTGTTAATATTATGTATTTATTATTAGCTCATCTGACATAGTCAGATGCAGCTTGTAGAATCGCATGATTGTCCGTCCATCCGTCCGTCCGTCCGTCCGTCCGTCCGTCCGTCCCTCCGTCTGTCAACAGTTGGGCACAAATCTTAACCGCTCGACGTACGGTCACGATATTCGGCACATTGGGGGGGATCGTCAAAACGAGTTGGGATGTCGAAGCTGGGGGTCAAAGGTCAAAGGTCAAGAGGTGTAAAAGAAGGGGAAACATTAAGGTATAGGGGGAAATGCAGAATTGCGGCACAAATCTAAACGGCTCGACCTAGGCTCGTCGATAGTCGGTGTATAGCATCA